AGAATGGCTTGAGCCCAGGAGTCCAAGAGCAGCCTGGGAAACATAACAAGCCCCCATCTTTTTTGTTTTTCTTTCCTATTTCAGTTCACTGCAACCTGTGCTTCTCAGGTTCGAGCGATTCTCCTGCTTCAGCCTCCCTGGTAGCTGGGAGTCTCGCTCTGTCTCCCAGGCTGGAGTGCAGTGGTGCAATCTCGGCTCACTGCAACCTCCACCTCTTTGGTTCAAGCAATTCTCCTTCCCCAGCCTCCTGAGTACCTGGGATTACAGGCACCCGCCACCACAACCGGCTAGTTTTTATATTTTTAATAGTTTTTATATTTTTAATTTTTAATAGGGTTTCGTGATGTTGGTCAGGCTGGTCTCAAACTCCTGACCTCAGATGATCTGCCTGCCCAGGCCTCCCAAAGTGCTGGGATTAAAGGCATGAGCCACTGCACCCGGCCCAGAGTCTTGCTCTGTTGCCCAGGCTGGTCTCAAACTCCTGTCTTCTAGTGATTCTCCTGCCTTGCCTTCTGAAGTGCTGGGATTACAGGTGTGTACCACTGTTCCAGGATCTTTTTGTACATTGTAGGGGATAAGAGCGGTTTTCACATTTTTTTTTTTCTTTTCTTTTTTTTTTTCTTAGACATGGTCTTACTCTGACTCCCAGGCTAGAGTGCAGTTCTGCAATCACAGCTCACCACAGCCTTGACCTCTCAGGCTCAGGGGATCCTCCCACCTCAGCCTCTTGAGTAGCTGAGACTACGGGTGAGCGCCATCACCCCCTTCTAAGTTTTCCATTTTTTGTAGAGACGAGGTCTCTCAATGCCATCCAGGCTAGTCTCTTGAGTTCCCGCCTTGGTCTCCGGAAATGCTGGGATTACAAGCGTGAGTCACCATGCCCCGCCAGTTTTCGCATTTTTTAAAGCTTGTAAAAATAAAGAGGAATACGTGACAGAGAACACATGCGCCCTGCAAAATACGTGTCTAGTGAAAGATTTACTAACCGGCCCTTAATAGACAGTTTGCTGACCCTTGGTGCTGTGAAAACTTGTGAAATAAATGACTCCAGGTTTAGTGCAAACTCAGGTGAGGTCACCCCATACATTTGTCCAAAGAGCAAGTGGAATGCGTGCAGTTATTCTGTTGGTCTTGCTGTGTGCATGTGTTCAGATGGGGCGGCTTTGGGTGATGAGTTTCACTCAGCCACATGTGCCTAAAAGAGCTCCAAACCTTCCCCATTGCCCTTTGGCTTCCGTAACTATGTAATTACTGCCTCTCTAGAAAATGATGTCTGCTCTGCAGTAAATACTTTCTCATAAATTCTTTATTTTTTATTTTACACATAATAATGACATGTGTTTATGGGATACAGAGTGATAATTTGATTTCTGTACACAATGCGTAATGATTAAATCAGAGTAATTAGCATATCCATTACCTCAAACATTTATTATTTGTATTGCGAACATTCAAAACCCTTCTAGCTTCCATTTATTTATTTAGAGACAGGGTCTCCTTCTGTTGCCCAGGCTGGAGTGCAGTGGCGCAATCACAGCTCACTGCAGCCTCGACCTCCTGGGCTCATGGGCTCAGGTGATCCTCCCACCTCAGCCTCCTGAGTAGCTGGGACTGCAGGTGGGTGCCACCACATCAGGCTACTTTTGTATTTTGTTTTTTAGATATTATATATATAATATATATGTAATTTTTTTTTAAATTTAAAAAATTGTTTTGGAGACACTCACTCTTGCACAGGCTGGATTGCAGTGGCATGATCTCGGCTCATTGAAACTTCCACCTCCTGGGTTCAAGCGATTCTCCTGCCTCAGCCTCCTGAATAGCTGGGATTACAGGCATCTGCCACCACACCCAGCGAATTTTGTATTTTTAATAGAGATGGGGTTTCCCCATGTTGGTCTGGCTGATCTTGAACTCCTGATCTCAGGTGATCCACCCGCCTCGGCCTCCCAAAGTGCTGGGATTACAGGTGTGAGCCACCACACCTGGCTTAATAATGACTTACTTTAGTAAAGCTCTTTGACTTCATGGTCACCCCTTGCCCCATGGCTCTTACTGCTTTTTGTAGTTTTTCGTTTGTTTGTTTGTTTTTTTGAGAGAGAGTCTTGCTCTGTCACCCAGGCTGGAGTGAAGTGGTTCACTCTCAACTCACCGTAACCTCTGCCTCCTGATTTCAAGTGATTCTCCTGCTTCAGCCTGCTGAGTAGCTGGGATTACAGGCATGGGCCACTACACCCGGCTACTTTTTGTATTTTAGTAGAGACAAGGTTTCACTAAGTTGACCAGGCTGGTCTTTAACTAATGACCTCAGTCGATCTGCCTGCATAGGCCTCCCAAAGTGCTGGCATTACAGGCATGGGCCACTGCGCCTGGCCACCTCTGGGCTTTTTTTTTGGAGACAGAGTCTTGCTTTGTCTCAGAAAAGTGCACTGGCTTGATCTCAGCTCACTGCAACTTCCGCCTCCCCAGTTCAAGCAATTGTCCTGCCTCAGCTTCCTGAGTAGCTGAGGTTGCAGGCGTGCACCATCGTGCCAGGCTGATTTTTGCATTTTTAGTAGAGACAGATTTTCACTATGTTGGTCAGGCTGGTCTCAAACTCCAGACCTCAAGTGATCCACTCCCCTCGGCCTCCCAAAGTGCTGGGATTACAGGCGTGAGGCACCGCGTCGGCCCACCTCTGGGCTTTTTATGTAGACTTTGGATTTTGCTCCTTGAACCAAGAGTCCTGCCTGACACACATTCTTCCCACGTTTCCTTCTGTGAACTAACCGTGTCCTCCCAGGCTGTCTTCCTGTGCCTTGGCTGCGTCCCCTATGGCCAGGCCAGTGCTGCCTTTCCGCACAGTCTCCTTGTTTCTCAGTATTCTCCCCACCCCCACCCCCACATCCCTCCAGCTTCCTGTCACTATCTTCCACCTGCTTCTCCTCTTCACACTCTGTCCCTTGCTCTTCTCTTCCTACCCCACCCAGCTCCTCCTCTGTTTACACGGGAATGCCGGGAAGGGCAGTGACCCCACCACCCGTGTTGCTCTTGGTGGCGAGGAGGGGACCCTGGGCCCCTTCTGCTCATGTTGGCGTAGGGTCCACAGGGGAAAGGGGCACTAAGCAGGATGATGCTGCGTATGAGGTTGATTCCTAAGGGTACTGAAGCCTAGACCAGAAAGATACCCAGCTCTGAAACCTGGGTCTGGAAGCTCCCTCACTTCCCCACCACCCCTGGAGCATCTGAATCCTTAACCTAATGCTGAGGTATTTGGAATCCGAGAACTAAGCAGCTTTGATTGAAATGTAACCCTACCCCTGAGGTAAATCAAACAAGCAGGACTTTAACCCTATATTTGCCAACCTTTATAGGACACCCCTGAGCTCTAACCACACCACCATCCCCCGTGCCTAAGGTTCTCCTGCAGGAGGTAGCGTCTGCCCTCCATCTCCGCAGCTGCACTCAGGAGCACTCCAGTCCTCTCCTAGTCCTAAGGCCTCTCTCCAGGACTCTATCCCTCTCTCCCAGAATTCATCCCCGAGCTCTAACCGTCCCTTCCCACGCACCAGGCCCTCCCATGCCCATTAGCCACTCCTCTGCCCTCAAACTCACTCCTATGGGGTCTAGAGTCCTCCCCAGCCTATATTCTCCGATTCCTACTATGGGCTCTGGTCCTTTCCCTAAGATAATCCTACCCTCAACCTAGGACCATCTTAAGATAGTTCAGGTCTCTCCCCTGAGTCTGTGTCCTCACCTCCCCCAGGACTCTGTCAGAGGTGTTTGAACCAGAGTGACTCCATTTTGAGTGTGGGTTGGGAAAATGAGGCTGAGACTTGCTGGGCTGCATTCTGAGCCTCTGGATGTTTACAGTTAAGGGACAAATTAATAATGGTTACTGAACAGACCCAGATGTGGGCGTGTTCAGATATCCTGATCTCTGGAGAACAAAGGCATTCCTAGTTTTGCTTTAAAGATAATATCAATTCTTGCAAAATAATGAAAAAAAAAAAAAGGAATCCTTTATCACAAACCCTCGTAGCAGAGCACATCTCCCCATATATGTGCGCATTGGACCTAGGGTGGATATGTTCCTCCCAATTTCAGGAGTGTCCTACACTGTCTATGGAGCAGCTGTTCTTTCACTACTTTTTCTTTTCTGTTTTTGAGATGGAGTCTCCCTCTGTCACCCAGGCTGGAGTGCAGTGGCGTGATCTCAGCTCACTGCAACCTCTGCCTTCCGGGTTCAAGTGATTCTCCTGCCTCAGCCTCCCGAGTAGCTGGGACTACAGGTGTGAGGCAACACACCTGGCTAATTTTGTATTTATAGTAGAGATGGGGTTTGGCCATGTTGGCCAGGCTGGTGACTTCAGGTGATCTACCCGCCTCGGCCTCCCAAAGTGCTGGGATTACAGGCGTGAGCCACCGCGCCCGGCTACTTTCTTAATAAACTTGCTTTTGCCTTACACTGAGGACTTGTCCTGAATTCTTTTTTTTTTTTTTTTGAGACGGAGTCTGGCTCTGTCCCACAGGCTGGAGTGCAGTGGCACGATCTCGGCTCACTGCAAGCTCCGCTTCCTGGGTTCACGCCATTCTCCTGCCTCAGCCTCTGGAGTAGCTGGGACTACAGGCGCCCGCCACCACGCCCGGCTAATTTTTTTGTATTTTTAGTAGAGATGGGGTTTCACCGTGTTAGCCAGGATGGTCTCGATCTCCTGACCTTGTGATCTGCCTGCCTTGGCCTCCCAAAGTGCTGGGATTACAGGTGTGAGCCACTGCGCCCGGCCGCTGAATTCTTTCTTGTGTGAGATCCAAGAACTGTCTCCTGGGGCCTGGACTGGCACCCCTTTCCTGTAACAACTCTACTCCGGGCCCTTACCCCTTCCCCAGGACCAGTCCGCTCACCTCCCTCCCGCCCTGTCCCTGCTGTGGGGCACCGCCAGGATTTGGCAGAGGTGCAGTCTGCTGGCGGGGTTCCTTCTTGAATAGGTCGTGTTTCAATATCCAACCAAGAGACCTGCTCATCTTTGATTTTCTTTATTAATAGTTGACAAATAATAATTGCATTATATTGATGGAGTACAAGGTGACGTTCCGATACATGTATACAATGTGGAATGATTAAATCAAGCTAATTAACATCCATCACCTCACTCCCTTATCCTCCTTCTTTGTGGCGAGACATCAGAAACCGACCTTGTTACTGTGATTTTAATCTGATCATCCTGGTGACTGTCTACAGTGACGGCACATTGTAGTTTTACTCTACAGTTCCTTGAGGAGCAATGACATTGAATACACTTTCACTTACTTGTTGGCCATTTGGTGATTTTCTGTTGAGACGTGCTTAAGTTTTCTCCCCTTTAATTTGATTTTTTTTTTTCCAACTTGAGGGATTCTTTATATTTTCTATGAGAGTTCCTTTGTCAGGTGTACTGTAGAGCAAATATCTTCTTCCAGTCCTGTTTCTTGTCTTTCCCCTATCTTAACAGCATCATTTGACGAACAGAACTTTGTACTTTTGATGAAGTGTAACGACTTTTTATGTTTGCTGTGTTTTGTGTACTAAGAAATCATTGCATAACCCACGGTTGTGACAATAATCTCTTAATGTTTTCTTCTAGAAGGCTCAATGGTCTTTTCCAGACTCATTGCACCCACAGGGAGTTTTCTTGTAAAAATTCACGAATGGCAACACAAATGGTAGTAATGATCATAAAAACAACAGTTAATATTTATTGAACTTATACAATATTCCAGTTACACTTTCAAAGACTTTACATGTACCAAACATTTAATTTCCACAATAGCAGTCTCAGGTAGATGTGACTATCATTATGTACAAATAATGCACAATAGTGTCTGTGTGCCAGACAACACACAAGGGTAGTGAGCCTTTGGCCCAGTGTCTCACAGGGAGGAGGGCGGGGGATGGTGGGGACAACTGAGAGAGTGGGTGCCATGACTAAAGGCTTTTTCACATGTTACATTAGCAGGGTTATTCCACAGATGCCACGGAATAAAGACAGAATGGTATTGGTAGTCTTTATGTATTCATTAAACTAACCTACACAATAAAAACGTCTACACCAAAAACACAATCATTAAGAAAAAGTGATTTTTCCACAATTCAAATTTGCCTCTAGAATGACTTCTGATATTCTGTAAGCAGAAGAGTGATCAGTGGGCTGGATGCAGTGGCTCACGCCTGTAATCCTAGCACTTTGGGAGGGCAAGGCAGGTGGATCACCTGAGGTCAGGAGTTCAACACCAGCCTGGACAACATGGTGAAACCTGTCTCTACTGAAAATACAAAAATTAGCCAGGCGTGGTGGTGCACTCCAGCCGGGGCAAGAGGGAGACTCTGTCTCCAAAAAATAAAAAAAAATAAAATAAAAAAACAGTGATCAGTGAAGGCTTTCTTATGTTAAACTGTACCATGATTTTTCCTCGTGTTGAGGAAGGAATGGATGTAGTCTAGAGGCCTTCCTACATTCTTTGTACAACAGTCCCCTCTCACCTGAGGGGAATACGTTCCAAGACCCAGTGGATGCCTGAAACCACAGATAGTACTCTGTTTTTTTCTTGTACATATATACGATACTATATACTACATTTTTTCCTGTACATACGTATCTAAAGTTTGATTTATAAATTAGGCACAGTAAGAGATTACCACCAGTAACTAACAAAATAGAACAATTGTAACAATATGCTGTCATAAAATTACATGAACGTAGGTATCTCTCTCTCCCAAAATATCTTATTGTCATGTAGATCTTAGCAACCTCAGTATATGATTTTTTTTCTTTTTCCTTATTGAGAACTTTCAACATTTCACTTAAAAGGAAGCACTTTGTGGCTTCTCTTTGGCATATCCGAATCACTGGCATCACTACTCTTGCTCTGGGGCCGCTGTTAAGCAAAGCAGGGACTGCTTGAGCACAAGCACTGTGATGCTATGACAGTCAGTCTGATCACCAAGACGGCTACTAAGTGACGAGCAGGGTGGGTAGCGTAGACAGCGTGATTGTGCTGGACCAAGGGACGATTCACAGCCCTGGCCGGTTAGAGCCGGACAGAGAGATTTCATCACGCTACTCGGAAGGGCACACCATTTGAGACTTACGCATTCGTTATTTCTGGAATTTTCCATTTAATATTTTTGAACTGCAGTGGACTGCAGATAACCAACTGTGGAAAGCGAAACCACAGATACGAGCGGGCTACGGTGTTCAAGAGGCTCTTCAACTGTTGTGGATCCTCTGATGTTCTCGGAGATGGTTTGGGTGGGTACATGCCTTCCCGCATTCCTTACATTCGTAGGATTTCGGCCCACTGTGCGTTTTCTGATGTTGTGTAAGCTGATGGCCGTGACTAAAGCTCTTCCCACATTCTGTACACCCGTAGGGTTTCACCCCGGTATGAATTCTCTCGTGTTTCACAAGGCTGGACCCATAAATGAAAGCCTTCCCACACTCCTTACATTTGTATGGGGTCTCGCCCGTGTGGATTCTCTCGTGCTGAGTGAGGTGGTAGCCGCAGTTGAAGGCCTTCCCGCACTCTGTGCATTTGTACGGCTTCTCGCCCGTGTGTATCCTCTCGTGCTTCACGAGGCTCGAACCCCAGCGAAAGGCCTTCCCGCATTCCTTACACTCGTGAGGCTTCTCACCGGTGTGGATCTTCTGATGCTGAGTGAGGTAATTGACTCGAGTGAAGGCCTTCCCGCACTCTTGACATTCGTAGGGTTTCTCACCTGTGTGAATTCTTTTATGCTGAATGAGGCTTGAACCACAAATAAAGGCCTTCCCACAGTCTTTACACTCGTAAGGCTTCTCCCCACTATGAATTCTCTTGTGCTGAATAAGTTTATACACACGGCTGAAGGTCTTCCCACAGTCTTTGCATTCGTAGTCTTTCTCCCCAGTGTGGAATCTCTGGTGCTGAGTGAGCTCATCACCACGCCGAAAGGCCTTTCCACAGTCTTTACATTCATAGGGTTTTTCACCAGTATGAATTCTCTTATGAATAACGAGGCTTGAACCCCATCGAAAAGCCTTCCCACAGTCTTTACACTCGTACGGCTTCTCCCCAGTATGAATTTTTTGATGTTGAGTAAGCTGATTGCCCCAACGGAAGGCCTTCTTACATTCTTTACATTCATAAGGTTTCTCGCCAGTATGGATTTTCTGATGTTGACTAAGTTGATAGCCACGACTAAAGGCCTTCCCACACTCCTTACATTCAAAGGAATTCTCCTTATGATGTCTCTGATGTGGTCGAGGAGGGGTACCTTCTCTAGTAGCAGGCCTTTTTACATAATTGATGATCATTTGATTGACATACCTCCCTCTCGAGCGCTGCGGTCTTTCAAGCGTACCTTCGCATATCCAGTTACGGCCAAGGGATTTACTTCTTCTATCTGAATTCCTTTTGGAAGCCCTTATTTCATGAATGTTTTTTCCTGTAGGTAAACTCTTATTCTCATATGCTGACTCCAAATCTGGGAAAAAAGAACATAGTTTGTTTCCTTTAGAGGGACACAAGTACAAACAAACCTAACCACAAACCAAAAACTTGTCTAATAGTAATAAAAATTATCCAGTAGAATAAATGTGAATCACCCAGGGCTCTTGTTAAAATGTAGATTCTATTTCTGGCACAATACTTAATGAGAATTCCTTGGAGACATCTGTTTTAAAGTCAAACATGAAAAAGGTCCCCACAATTAGTCCTATTATTTCCTATTTTGAAGATGAAAACAAGTATTTGTAGATGATGTGATGGTATACTTGGAAAATCAAAGAAAATCAAATATAGAAGTACTGTAACAAAACAATATGCAGTTGGATAGCTGTGTGTAAAGCATTCTGAAACTGATACACATATATGTCAGCAGTATTACTAAAAGTAACTGGGTAAAGGGCTGGGAGTGGTGGCTCACGCCTGTAATCCCAGCACTTTGGGAGGCCAAGGCAGGCGGATCGCCTGAGGTTGGGAGTCCGAGACCAGCCTGACCAACATGGAGAAACCTTGTCTCTACTAAAAGTACAAAATTAGCCAGGTGTGGTGGCACATGACTGCAATCCCAGCTACCTGGGAGGCTGAGGCAGAAAAATTGCTTGAACCTGGGAAGCAGAGGTTGCGGTGAGCTGAGATCATGCTATTGCACTCTAGCCTGGGCAACAAGCATGAAACTCTGTCTCAAAAAAAACCAAAAAAAACAAAAAACAGGCTGGGCGCAGTGGCTCATGCCTGTCATCCCAGCACTTTGGGAGGCTGAGGTGGGCATATCATGAAGTCAGGAGTTCGAGACCAGCCTGGCCAACATGGTGAAACCTTGTCTCTACTAAAAATACAAAAATTAGCTGGGTGTGGTGGTGGGAGACTGTAATCCCAGCTACTCGGAAGGGTAAGGCAGGAGAGTCGCTTGAACCCGGGAGGTGGAGGTTGTAGTGAGCCGAGATTGTGCCACTGCACTCCAGCCTGGGTGACAGAGCTAGACTCCGTCTCAAAAGAAAAAACAACAAACAAACAAACCCCATCTCTACTAAAAATACAAAAATCAGCCAGGCATGGTGGTATGTGCCTATAATCCCAGCTACTTGGGAGGCTGAGGCAGGAGAATTGCTTGAACCTGGGAGGTGGAGGTTGCAGTGAGCCAAGAGAGAGACTGTCTCAAAAAAAAAAAAAAAAAAAAAAAAAAAAGCAACTGGGTAAAAGAATACAACATTCAAAAGCAACAAAAAAGATAATCTACAAGACTACATTTAATTAAAAATGTGAAAAAGTTTAGAACAATAATAAGAAAAAGTTTAGAACTTGAGCATCAAGAAGGAGGCTAACTGCAAAGGACTGAGAAACAGCAAACGTTTAAATCTATGAGTTCATAAGGATACTACAAAATGTTAAATGGCCAGCTTTGGAGCATGCTAGGAAACCAATCCTCTATTATAAAAACTGACAATTGGCTAGGTGCGGTGGCTCACGCCTGTAATTCCAGCACTTTGGGAGACCGAGGCGGGTGGATTACTTGAGCTCAGGAGTTCAAAACCAGTCTGGGAAACAGCAAAACCCTGGGAAGCAGCAAAACCCTGTCTCTACAAAAAAAAAATATATAAAAATTAGCCAGGCGTGGTGGTGTGCACCTACAATCCCAGCTCCTCGGGAGGCTGAGGTGGGAGGATGGCTTGAGCCTGGGAAGTCAAGGCTGCAGTGAGCCCAGACTGCACTACTGCACTCCAGCCTGGGTGACAGAGTAAGACCCTGTCTCAAAAAAACAAAAAACAAAAAACCAAAACAACGTAAAAACCAACAAAGGAAAAGAACAAAGTTTTTATCCTCGTTATCCAATATGAACAGTGCCACTGCATGAGCAATTAGCAGATGAAACAAAGTTTCTCTTTAAATTACAGGCTAATAAATGAAGGGGCAGTGATAGGCGCGCAGCATTTGAGCCCCAGTGTAACGAATGTGAGCACTGCCAATGACCGCCAACGGCAAAGAGCTACAACCAGATACTAGGTGCCTCATGGTGGAGGTACATGACCAGCACCCAGGAAGCGGTATTGCCAACACCTAGATAAAAGAAAAAGAAAACGGGTGCTTAAAGCGGGGCTAACCCACTTTCAGGAATGATGAAGGGCAGAGGATCACGTCACCTCTACCCCTGCTACTAAAGGCGTGGCCCACAGACCCGCAGCACCAGCAGCACATCAAATGGGGTTAAATATGACAGGAAAAACAAGGTGACAGGGAAATGGGGTGAAGATCAAGTTCGTGGTAAGTTTTTTTTTTTTTTTTTTTTGGAGACGGAGTCTCGCTCTGTCACCCAGGCTGGAGTGCAGTGGTGCGATCTCGGCTCACTGCAAGCTCCGCCTCCCGGGTTCACACCATTCTCCTGCCTCAGCCTCCTGAGTAGCTGGGACTACAGGCGCCCACCACCATGGCCGGCTAGTTTTTTTTGTATTTTTAGTAGAGACGGGGTTTCACCGTGTTAGCCAGGATGGTCTCGATCTCCTGACCTCCTGATCCGCCCACCTCGGCCTCCCAAAGTGCTGGGATTACAGACATGAGCCACCACGCCTGGCTAAGATCTTTCTTTCCTAGAGGCTTTGGGCCTGAACCTTTGGAGAAAGCGTCTCCAACACCTCAGGGTGTGCCTGTTCCCTGCCCAGCGGGGATGCCCTTTGTACGGGTGGCTAACTGGCTCTCACTTTCCTCGCTATTGTTGTCTTGTCTTTTCCCTCACAACCATCAAGGCTCTTTCCCTTAATTCTGTAAGACAGTACATCTGGCTTAGAAATGATATGCCTTCCTTTAAAAAAACAAAATGCTAGAGGACATAGAACTTGAGGAAAAATTTCAAGCTCAAAACTTTAAAAATTCTTTAAAAATTATTTTTATTTTTATTTTTATTTTTTTATCTTTTATTTATTTTTTTTTGAGACGGAGTCTCGCTCTGTAGCCCAGGCTGGAGTGCAGTGGCCGGATCTCAGCTCACTGCAAGCTCCACCTCCCGGGTTCACACCATTCTCCGGCCTCAGCCTCCCGAGTAGCTGGGACTACAGGCGCTGCCACCTCGCCCGGCTATTTTTTGTATTTCTTAGTAGAGACGGGGTTTCACCGTGTTAGCCAGGATGGTCTCGATCTCCTGACCTCGTGATCCGCCCATCTCGGCCTCCCAAAGTGCTGGGATTACAGGCTTGAGCCACCGCGCCTGGCCTTTATTTTTATTTTTTGAGAGGGAGTCTTGCTCTGTTACCCAGGCTGGAGTGCAGTGGTGTGATCTCGGTTCATTGCAACCTCCACCTCCAGGGTTCAAGCAGTTCTCCTGCCTCAGCCTCCCAAGCAGCTGGGATTACAGGCACGGCCACCATGCCCAGCTTTTTGAGACTTGCTCTGTTGCCCAGGCTGGACTGCAGTGGCATGATCTTGGCTCACTGCAGCCTCTGCCTCCCAGGTCCCAGGGATTCTCCTGCCTCAGCCTCCTGGGTAGCTGGGATTACAGGCGCACAGCACCACACCGGCTAATTTTTGTATTTTTAGTAGAGATGGGTTTTCACCATGTTGGCCATGGTCTTGAAGTCCTCACTTCAGGTGATCCGCCCACCTCGGACTCCCAAAGTGTTGGGATTACAGGCGTGAGCCACCATGCCTGGCCTTAAACATTTTTTGATTATTAATCAAATTTATAACAACCAGAAGTCAAAATGCTATTGAGCCGGGTGCAGTGGCTCATGCCTGTAATCCACCCTCTTTGGGAGGCTGAGGTGGGTGAGTTGCTTTAGCCTAGGAGTTCAAGATCGGCTTGGGCAACATGGCGAAATCCCATCTCTACAAAAAAACACAATAATTAGCCGGGTGTCGTGGTGTGCACCTGTGGTCCCTGCTACTCAGGGAGATGAGGCGGGAGGATCACTTGAGCCCAGGAGGTTGAGGCTGCAGTTAGTCATGATGGCGCCACTGCACTCCAGCCTGAGTGACAGAGTGAAAAAAAAAATCTCATCTTAAAAAAAAAAAAAAAAAAAAAAGAAAGGAAACGCTATTAATAAAGACTTTATAAAGAGAAAGGAATAAAGAACAAACAGGAAACTAGATAGGTAGGGAAAAGGTCATATTTTATTTATTTATTTAGTTATGTATTTTTCTGAGACAGATTCTTGCTCTGTCGCCCAGGATGGAGTGCAGTGGCGTGATCTCAGCTCACTGCAATTTCTACCTCCCGGGTTCAAGTGATTCTCCTGCCTCAGCCTCCCAAGTAGCTGGAAATACAGGCATGTGCCACCACACCTGGTAAATTTTTGTATTTTCAGTAGAGGTGGGGTTTCATCATGTTGGCCAGGCTGGTCTTGAACTCCTATCCTTATGATCCGTCCGCCTTGGCCTCCCAAAGTGTTGTGATTACAGGAGTGAGTCACTGCACCCGGCCTTATTTTTCACTATTTTTGAGACAGAGTCTCGTTCTGTTGCCCAGGCTGCAGCACAATAGCGCGATCTTGGCTCACTGCAACCTTTGCTTCCCAGGTCCAAATGATTCTTCTGCACCAGGCTCTGGAGAAGCTGAGATTACAGACATGTGCCACCATGCCTGGCTAATTTTTATATTTTTAGTAGAGACAGGGTTTTACCATGTTGGCCAGGCTGGTCTCTAACTCCTGACCTCAAGTGATCCACCCACCTCAGCCTCCCAAAGTGCTGGGGATTACAGGCGTGAGCCACCGTGCCTGGCCGAGAAAAAGTCCTATTTTAAGTTTCTGTAGGCATTATGCCTGGAGGCAAGCGGGACATGGCAGCTGGCAGGATGGAACCTGGGGACCAAAATTGTTAGATTTGCTTCTAGCTCCTGCTCCCTCTGTCTGACCACACCACTTTGTGCCTCAGTATCCTCATCTCCAAAATAGACAATGATTGTGCCTATCTCATCTGCTTGTGAGAATCAAATGAAATGTACTTACACACACAGTGCTTAGAACAGTACATGGCACAGAGTAAGCATATATATATATAAAAAAATATGTGTATATATGTGTGTCTCTGTATATATATAAAACATATATAAATTCCTATTTGTTTATTTATTGTTTTAGCCATGGGGTCTTGATCTGTTACCCAGCCTGGAGTACAGTGGTATGACTATAGCCTTTAACTCCTGGGCTCAAGTGATCCTCCTGCTTCAGTCTTCTGAGTAGCTGGGATTACAGGCAGTGTCACCATAGACGGCTTAGCTATCAATATCATTGTTGTTATTTTGCTAGAAGAAAAATAAGTTTCCAGAGATGTATACAAGATATTGTCATTCAATGTTTAACTCAAAGTTCAGGGATTGTAACTTTCAACCTCACTTCGGGTATGATACGTAAGACATGAAATACGCCCACTTTGGTTTTATACAAATTCTGTTTGTCTAATCTACTCTACTTCAAACATATAGGCTGCTTTACTAGAACAATTCAGGGCACTGTGTCCACATGTTTTCCCTAGATGTGGGTCCCTAGAGTACCACAGACCACCAATAGCAATTTGGGTATAAACATAACCTCATAGGACAAACTGGTTCCTTTGAAGATGGTCATGAAATAAACATCCCAGAATTCCAACGCATTCCACGGACATTAAGGAAGAGAGATGATTACAGGGGGAGTCGATGAAGGGGGGAAGGTAACCAATGGATGGGAGGGGAAGGTGTCTGATGCTCATGGCCATACCAGTACGGCTCAATACATTCCTTGGGAACAGGAAGAAGAAATTCAACTAGTTTCTTGAAAGATGGTCCTGAAATTCACAGTGGAGAGCGGATATTCCAGGAGGCAGTCTAAGTTATCTGAGGTGTGCAACTCACCCAGTGAGACCAAGTTACTGTAGTTCTCCAGCATCACATCCCAGTACAGGTCCCTCTGAGCGGAGTTCAGGCAGGCCCACTCCTCCTGAGAAAAGTCTATGGCTACGTCGGCGAATGTCACCAAACCCTGAAACAGAAACCCACATATGCATGATGAAATGAAAGGAAACAGCTTCCAGATGAAGGAGACAAGAGGCCCCCTCTGGGTAGGGTGAACACCTGTGACATGGGCAGGGGGCGGTAAGGACATCAGCGTAACTGTGACGGAAGCAGAATGCCTGCATGTCACTGAAGAGCTCTGCTGCTGCAGAGAAAATGGCTTATACTGTGCAGAATCCTCAATTAGTCAAACTGGCCCGGAAGTGGATAAAACAATGCAAGCTTTCTTCTTGTTGACAAGCAGTGTCTGCTATATGTCTGCCTTATAAGTTCTCAACAAGTGTGGATTCCTACAGCATTTTTTCTTCTAAGGGGGAAGAAAAATCAAGATTTTTGTTTAAGATCTTTTATTTTAGAAAATAGGGTTTGCCGGGTGTGGTGGCTCATGCCTGTAATCCCAGCACATTGGGAGGCTGGGGCAGGTGGATCACCTGAGGTCGGGGGTTCGAGACCAGCCTGACCAACATGGAGAAACCTCATCTCTACTAAAAATACAAAATTAGCCAGGCGTGGCAGTGAGTGCCTGTAATCCCAGCTACTCAGGAGGCTGAGGCAGGAGAATTGCTTGAACCCGGGAGGCGGAGGTTGCGGTGAGCCGAGATTGTGCCACTGCACTCCAGCCTGGGCGACAAGAGCGAAACTCTATCCCAAGAAAAGAAAAAGAAAATAGGGTTCGCATGTTTGAATGTTTTCAAGCCTCAGGTTCATCATGCCAAACTACATTTTAAGCAGTCTTCCTTTTAAGCATTTAAAAAAATTCCCACACAGGTTAAGTCAGACTGTTCATTATAGTTATTCACTTAGGTTGACCAAAACACCTAAGGCTTTCTCCAATTCTGGGGTACGCAATCATCTCCTACTTCCATACTGGAAGATCTTCATGTTTCTTACCATCCCCAACCCAGTCTTTCCCCTGGGAAAGACTTTTTTTTGTATTTTTAGTAGAGATGGGGTTTCACCATGTTAGCCAGGATGGTCTCGAACTCCTGACCCTGTGATCCGCCTGCCTCAGCCTCCCAAAGTGCTGGGATTACAGGCGTGAGCCACCACGCCTGGCCCCCTGTTCCTGAATTAGAGGATAAGGATGTCAGATGATTTAGAATCATCTTGCAGTCTGAGAGATCCATTCAGTAATAAAATTTACCCCCCAGCTTCCCCGGCAGGAACACGACCTCTGTTCAAAGGTCCTAATCACAGCCCCAACTCCTTCCAAAAGTCCCATCAAGCTTGGGATCTGAGCACATACTAAGACAGACCAGTGAATATGAGCGTCCCCACTTATCTACGCAGAAAGCATGCTCAGTGGAGGATTCGTTTCTCACGTGGTCAAATGGGACCAACATATCTAACTCATCGAACCACGGACTTGACTTAAATATGTCCCTCAATGGACTTTGCTACTTCACTGCTCCAACATTACCCTGGCCCCAAAAGGGAGCAAATAGGAGATACTGAATCACGTGCTCTGTGATTTCCCCAAAAGGCAATGCGGAGTTATATGGCATTATCATTCACTGGAATAGAAAGAACTGGGAAATAGGTAATTATGAAGAGCTTGACTAGATAAAAGGCTTCAGATAATTCACAAGCAGATACAGCAAACGCAAATCTCACAGCTCAAGAAGGAAAGAGAAATACACACTTACCTGGGCCATTGTTTTAGAATTGAAGAACTGATCAGTCTTCTTGGGGTTTCCACTGAAGAAGACACAAACTCTGAGAGGCTAGAGCTAGGGGCGGAAAAAGAGAGATTAAAACCAGGTGCACCCGGGGTCCCCATATTCCCCAGGGATGTAATATGTAATATGACCTTTTGGCTCCTGTCTTGGCTTCCCAAAACAAACACATAACCGTGGCATATCTGGGAAAGGTTAAGAGTATCATGATCAGGCTGGGCGCGGTGGCTCACGCCTGTAATCCTAGCACTTTGGGAGGCTGAGGTGGGCGGATCACGAGGTCAGGAGATGGAGACCATCCTGGCTAACACGGTGAAACCCTGTCTCTACTAAAAATACAAAAAATTAGCCAGATGTGGTGGCACACACCTGTAGTCCCAACTACTTGGGAGGCTGAGGCAGGGGAATAGCTTGAACCCGGGAGGCGGAGGTTGCAGTGAGCTGAGATTGCGCCACTGCACTCCAGCCTGGCGACAGAGCAAGACTCTGTCTCAAAAAAAAAAAAAAAAGGCCGGGCGCGGTGGCTCAAGCCTGTAATCCCAGCACTTTGGGAGGCCGAGACGGGCGGATCACGAGGTCAGGAGATCGAGACCATCCTGGCTGACACGGTGAAACCCCGTCTCTACTAAAAAAAATACAAAAACTGGCCGGGCGCGGTGGCTCACGCCTGTAATCCCAGCACTTTGGGAGGCCGAGGCGGGCGGATCACGAGGTCAGGAGATCGAGACCATGGTGAAACCCCGTCTCTACTAAAAATACAAAAAACTAGCCGGGCGCGGTGGTGGGCGCCTGTAGTCCCAGCTACTCGGGAGGCTGAGGCAGGAGAATGGCGTGAACCCGGGAGGCGGAGCTTGCAGTGAGCCGAGATCGCGCCACTGCACTCCAGCCTGGGCGACAGAGCGAGACTCCGTCTCAAAAAAAAAAACAAAACAAAACAAAAAAAAAACTTAGCTGGGCGAGGTGGCGGGCGCCTGTAGTCCCAGCTACTCGGGAGGCTGAGGCAGGAGAATGGCGTAAACCCGGGAGGCGGAGCTTGCAGTGAGCTGAGATCCGGCCAGTGCACTCCAGCCTGGGCGACAGAGCGAGACTCCGTCTCAAAAAAAAAAAAAAAAAAAAAAGAGCATCATGGATCAAACCTAAACCAAGCTCTCAATGAAACCTCAGGAAACCTAGCTGCACACAGCAGAAGAGGCTTTACTTTTTTTTTTTTTTTTTTCTCAAAGACAGGCCCAGACAATTTAACAGGAGGACTTCATTTCTGGCCAGCTCCCTACTGGGGACTGATGGGTGGGATGTAGTAAAGAATGTGGACTTGCCCAAAAAGTAGTCTGGCCTTTGCCCTCTGGTGCTGAAAGTTAATCAATATTACATCTAAGAGGAATGTCTTTGTTTCTCATGGGGACTTGCTACGCCAGAAATACTAATCAAGTGATTCAGGGTAGGAGCTTTCGGTCATGCGGTACCAGCTGACCTGGAAACTGACATTAACCATGTAGACAATCAATCAACCAACCAGTCAATCATGTCTACATGCTGAAGCCCAATAAAAACTTCCAACATCAGAGCTTAGGTGAGCTTCTCTAGTTGGCGATAGTTGGCGCCTGTTGTCACACACCAAAGACAGCAGAGTAATGAGTCCTGACTCCACAGGGAAAGGACACCAGAAGCTCTGTGTCTGGAACTCTCCTGGACTTCAACTTATGTACTTCTTTTTTTTTTTTTGAGACGGAGTCTCGCTCTGTCGCCCAGGCTGGAGTGCAGTGGCCGGATCTCAGCTCACTGCAAGCTCCGCCTCCCGGGTTTACGCCATTCTCCTGCCTCAGCCTCCCGAGTAGCTGGGACTACAGACGCCCGCCACCGCGCCCGGCTAGTTTTTTGTATTTTTTAGTAGAGACGGGGTTTCACCGTGTTAGCCAGGATGGTCTCGATCTCCTGACCTCATGATCCGCCCGTCTTGGCCTCGTACTTCTTTTTTTTTTGAACGGATCTTGCTCTGTTGCCCAGGCTGGAGTGCAGTGCCATGATCTCGGCCCACCACAACCTCTGCCTCCCGGGTTTAAGTGATTCTCCTGCCTCAGCCTCCTGAGTAGCTGGGACTACAGGCACACGCCACCATGCCCAGCTATTTTTTGTATTTTTAGTAGAGACGGGGTTTCACCGTGTTGGCCAGGATGGTCTTGAACTCCTGACCTTGTGATCTGCCCGCCTTGGCCTCCCAAAGTGTTGGGATTACAGGCGTGAGCCACCGCGCCTGGTCACGTACTTCTTTCCTTGAGTGATGACAATCTGTATCCTTTCCTTGTAATAAACTGTAACCATAAGCATAACATCTTTCAGTGAATTCTGTGGGTAGTTTTAGAGAATTTTTTTTTTTTTTTAAGACAGGGTCTCACTCTCACCCAGGCTAGAGAGCAGTGGTACCATCTCAGCTCACTGCAGCCTTGACTTCCTGGGTTCAAGCAATCCTCCCACCTCAGCCTCCCGAGCAGCTGGGATTACAGGTTGCACCGCACCACTGCACTTGGCTAATTTTGTTTGCTTTTTTTTTTTTTTTGTAGAGATTGGGTCTCACTGTATTTCCCAGGCGGGTCTTGAACTCCTGGCCTCAAGTGATCTTCCCACCTTAGCTTCCCAAGGTGCTGGGATTATAGGCATGAGCCACCATGCCTGGCTCTAGTGAACTGTTCAACCTGAGGGTGGTTTGGGGAATCTCCCCAACCTCGCAGTGGTGTCAGAAGTGACGGTGGTTTTCTATCAGGCTGTGCCCATGAGCCTCATCGATCAGCTAACACTGGACGGGGGGATTGTGCTCTAGGATCTGAGAGTGGGTGTTTAAGAGTATTTAGTCTCATTCTGAGCCCACCCTGGTCCCTCCAGACAAGCTTCCAGGGTGAAGAGGGGCTGTATTCTCCAAACTTGGACCTCTTCTGGCCTCTAGATTGGGTGATGTTACTCAAAACATGGCAGGTGGACAAGGAACTGCTCAGGCAATATACCCAACTTTTTTTTTTTTTTTTTGTATACCAGAGGTGATATCTGAGAGCACTACTGGGTCCAGAAAAGCTGACAGCGTAATTACACACAGAATATCCAAGTAAAATAGTAAATGGTTACTGAATGTTAAGTTAGAAAAACTATTTAAAGACATGAGAGATATTTCAGACATACTCTTAGTAGAAAAGTTAGGTTACCAAAACAGAATGACACAATAACATTTGTAAAATGCCATATATAAAAACACACACACGCATCTGTCTATATATACACATATGCACACATGTATATATATATGGAGAGAGAGGGAGAGGAGGAGAGAGGGAAGGAGGGAATGCAGACACATACACGCTGACAAACCAACCGTAAGATATCAGTAGAAAAATATAAAAAATAGAGATATAAAAACAGAGAAATAGAAAGCAGAGAAACAGAAAGGAAAAGCTGGGAAGTTCTATGACCCCAATGCAGAACAGTTAACAGAGTGAACTGGAAACTGCCATCGTTCAGCCTGCTCACAACACCGGCCCGTGGCGTCTGAAAACCAGATCTGAGTGTTCGCGCTCTTCTTTCACGTGTAAGAGTGGCTCGCTGCACCTAAACTGAGCCTGGTTTCCTGCTAACCTGTCCTGTGCAACCTCTCCCTCTGCTGATTTTGCTTTGTATCCCTTCAGTGGAATAAATCAGTATAAACGACGATGTGGTTTACACGGAACCCCTGGTTTCCTCCGGGAGTCCAGAAGATTCAGATTGTGCGAGGCAGTGTGTGCATGAACCTTGATCAAAACCTTTCGCTACCATACAAAAATTAGCTGGGCATGGTGGCGGGCGCCTATAATCCCAGCTACTTGGGAGGCCGAGGCAGGAGAATCACTTGGACCCAGGGGGCAGCGGTTGCAGTGAGCCGAGATCACGCCACTTCACTCCAGCCTGGGCGAAGGAGCAAAACTCCGACTCAAAACCAAATCAAACCAAACCAAACCTTGCACCAACGGACTCTGGTGCGCTTCCCTGGTTGACAACATGGAACAGGTGTTGTCACAATGCGATGCTGGATGAGCCAGGCACATCCGGTGTGATGTCCCTGGGAGAGGACTGAGGAAGGGGGAGCCTGGTTTCCTGCTAACCTGTCCTAGGCAACCTCTCCCTCAGCTGATTTTGCTTTGTATCCCTTCGCTGGAATAAATCAGCCACGAGTAGATCTAGATGGTGGGTCCTGTGAGTCCATCTAGAGAAACAAGGAACCTGGTGGTGGTCTTGACAACTCCTGACACACCCTGAGATCCTGAGTTTCTTAAGTGCACCTATGTGTTGCAACAACAGGCATGCATTCCCTTATCATACACAAATGTGTATTGATTTGAAATGCAGTCAGAGGCGATTAGACTCTCAAAAGACAAAGAAGGTTTCTTTTTTTTCTTAAAAAGTCTACTCCTCGGCCGGGCGCGGTGGCTCACGCCTGTAATCCCAGCGCTTTGGGAGGCCGAGGCGGGCGGATCACAAGGTCAGGAGATCGAGACCACGGTGAAACCCCGTCTCTACTAAAAATACAAAAAATTAGCCGGGCGCGGTTGTGGGCGCCTGTAGTCCCAGCTACTCGGGAGGCTGAGGCAGGAGAATGGCGTGAACCCGGGAGGCGGAGCTTGCAATGAGCCGAGATCGCGCCACTGCACTCCAGCCTGGGCGACAGAGCGAGACTCCGTCTCAAAAAAAAAAAAAAGTCTACTCCTAGCCAGGCACGGTGGCCTGTAATCCCAGCACTTTGGGAGGCTGAGGCGGACGGATTACTTGAGGTCAGGAGTTTGAGACCAGCCTGGCCAACATGGCGAAACCCCATCTCTACGAGAAAAATGCAAACATTAGCTGGGTGTGGTGGTGCGTGCCTGTAATTCCAGCTACTCAGGAAGCTGAGGCGCAAGAATTGCTTGAATCTAGGAGGTGGGGTTTGCAGTGAGCCCAGATCACGCCACTGTACTCTGGCCTGGGTAACAGAGTGAGACTCTGTCTCAGAAATAAAAATAAAAATAAAAATAAAAAAGGATAAAGGACAAAAAAAGGCC